CAATTCTGAGAAAACTACCTCTATATTTGAAGGATACTTTCCACTTTTCCCTAAAATGTATAGTTTTCCATACTGTTGCAATCAAAGTATATGTACATTTTTGAAGATTCTTTTTCTTCAATTCACACTATATTGCACTTACAACTAGATTTGGAGTTGGGATTCCCAAGCTCTGAGGCAAGCAGGGAGAGCTGTTGGAGGCCCCTTGATGTTTGCACCTTTGGAGTAGGATGGTTGTGACAGCAGTAGAAGGACTTCAGAACCAGGAAGGTCGTCTCCTCCTGTACCTCTCCCATACCCCAGGCTCTGGTAACCACCATTCTACTTATTTCTATGAGTTTGGCGTTTAAGAGTATATGACCGAGATTATGCAGCATTTCTCTTTCTGTGCCTTGTTTATTTCAGTTAGCATAATGTCCTCCTGGTTCATCCATGTTGTTGCAAATGACACCATTTCTTCTTTTTAAGGATGGATAATAGTATTCCACTCTATGTGTGTCTGTGTGTGTGTGTGTGTATGTATGTATTCTTTATCCATTCATCCAGTGATGGACACCTATGTTGATTCCATATCTTAGTTATTATGAATAAACATGCGAGTGCAGATATCTATTGGACATACTGATTTCAGTTCCTTTAAATATATATCCAGTAATGGGATTGCTTGATCGTATGGCAATTGTATTTTTAATTTTTGGGTAAAGCTCCATTTTTTTTTATAATGGCTATACTAATTTACATTGCCATCAACAGTGTACAAGTGTTCTCTTTTCTCTACATCTTCTTTATCAGTTATCTTTTATTTTTTGATAATTGCCATTTTAATAGGTGGTATCTCATTGTGGCTTAATTTGCATTTCCATGGTGATCAGTGATGTTGAGCATTTTTTCATATACCTATTGGCTATTTGTATTTCTTTTTTTGAGAGATGTCATTAGGTTCTTTGCCCATTTTAAAATTGGGTTATTTGCTTTCTTGCTATTGAGGTGACTTCTTTATTTATTTTGAATATTAACCCCTTATTAGATGTGTGATTTGCAAATATTTTCTCCCATTCTATTGATTGTTTCTTCACTCTGTTGATTGTTTCCTTGGTTGTGCAGAAGACTTTTAGTTAGATGCAATCCCATTTGTCTATTTTTGCTTTGTTGCCTGTGTTTTTGGGATATATCCAAAAATTTATTGCCCAGAGCAATGTCATGGAGTTTTCCCTTATGTTTTCTCCTAGTAGTTTTACAATTTCAGGATTTATATGTAAGTCTTTAATCCATTTTGAGTTTATTTTTGTATATGGTGTGAGACAAGGGTCTAATTTCATTCTTTTGAATGTGGACATCCAGTTTTCCCAACACCATCTATTGAATAGACTGTCCTTGCCCTATTGTGTGTCCTTGGCAGCCATGTCAAAAATTAATTTGGGCATCTATTTTGTGTGGGGAGAAGTGGCTCAGGGAAAGGATATATATGAACTCATGGACATGGATATTGGTTGATGGCTATCACTCACAATAGCTGGGGAATGGGTGCATCACCTGCTTAAGAGGTCCTGGGAAAGGCATCAACAATGTCTACTAAAATCCATTCCTTGCACTGTTCAGATTCACTTGTTTCTGGCTTTCAGGTGGGCAGTTTTTATTTTTTCATCCACCATTGGTGTTACCTCCTCAACCCCCTCCTTCACTCACTCTAATAGATGATATTTATATACATAATTAGGTCCACTGTTTGACAATATACTTTGCTCAGAATGATCTAATTATCAGCAGAATAAAGGTGAGCTTGTTTTTGGAGGGTCCCAACTACATCTCTAGGTAAGGACCAGTGCACCTGGTCCAGTTTATACACCATCCCAGCTCCCCTGGATTCCACTTGCGTTGACTGCTTGCTTTGCTTTTAGATTGGAGTGACTCTAGTGACAACTCACTCTGTTCTCATGGTCATAAATCCCTGCTCATTGCTGCCACTGCTGCTGCCACCACAGACCGAGAACTCCATTTGCACAGTGCTGTCTGCTAAGGAGAAGTTGCCGTGCCTGAGCACCAGACCACATGGAGTCACAGAGACTCCCAACCAGGTAAAGAGGTGATATGGCTTGTGGATGTCAGCCACATTCTCTTCTTGATCACCTCGCTGCTGGAACAATGGGTCATGATCAGAGTAGAGTGGTCATGGAGATTGAATGGAGGCTATTCATGGGTCCAAGAACATGGACACTCTCTTTCACCAAAATCAATTCGGGTCTTGCCACTATTAATCACCTAACTTGCCAGCAGCAGAGACTATCGCTGAGTCTTTGAGATGGCACTGCTTTTGGAGAGATCAGGTGGCTATCCAGTGAGAGGTTGACCCCTCTACTTTGGAGAGGATGGACATTCATCTTTATCACCATTGATACCTGCTCTAACATGAGTTTTCCTTCTCTGTCTGAAATCCCTCTGCCACTACCACCATATGAGGGCTTACAGATTTCCCAATCCATCAACCTGGTTCTCACACATGTTACCTCAGAGCAAAGGACTCATTTTATGGCAAATAATGTAAAATGATGAGCTCATTGGTCTTATTATATACCATGCCACCCAGAAGCAGTCAACCTAGTGGAATTATGAGCTGGCCTGTTGAAAGCTCAGCTAAGGTGCCAGCTCAGAGATGACACCCTGTAGGGTTGGAAGTTGGAGCACTGCTTTCCAGGATGTGATACATATGCTGAATCAATAACCAATTTATGGTTCAGTGTCCCACATAGCTAGAATATATGAGTCCAGGAATCAAGGGATAGAAATGGAATTGATCCCTTTAGTTATCACTCCCAGGCACTTACTTGTGGAATTTGTATCTTCCTGTTCCTGCAAACTCAAATTCTGCCAGTTTAGAGGTCTAAGTTTCCAGGAAGAAAATGCTTTTTCCAGTGCAGGTGGGAAAGGCTCCAGTGAACTGGAAGTTGTGACTATCACTCAGCCGTTTGGGACTCCTCATAACAGTGGACCAGCAGGCAAAGGCAAGAGTTGCCTTATGGCTAGAATAATTGGCCTTAATTACCATGAGAAGCTAGGGTTGCTGCAATGCAATGGGAGAAGATAAGAGTATGACTGCAACTGAGGGAATTCCCTGGAAGTATCCCCTATACTTTTGTGCTCACTGATAATTGTAAATGGGCAGTTACAACAACCCAAACCTAACAAGTGCAAAGCAACTAACAACTCAGTCCCCTCAGGGTGGAGCTCTGGGTCACTCCATCAGACTACAGCTCAGACTTACTAAACTGCTAGATGGTTGTGGGGGGGCACCTAGAGTGGGTGGTGGAAGTGAGATGCAAAATATCAATTAGGACTCTAGGACCAGCTGTGGCAGTGGAGATTTTCAGGAGATTGCAATTGACCATTGACACCAATTACCAGAAAAGACTACTCACTAACCTGAGGGAACCTGTCCCTCAGGTTAGTGAGTAGTCTTTTCTGGTAATTGGTGTCAATGGTCAATTGCAAGGGAACCTGTAGCTTCCTGAATGGGCTGAGTGACGCACCTGGAAATGGAAGGATGCTTTGTTCCCATGCAGAAAACCCTGACCAATGGGATTCTGAAGATGGGTATATACATTTATCCACTGGTGGAGCCATGAGTGGTGCTGCATCCTCAATAGTTAGAATACAAGGATGGGACTTGGAGCCAGCATAAAGACAAAATCCTAATAGCTATTAATCCCATCATGTAGAGATAATCCCCATAATTATTTTGATGTAATTACTTCCAATTTTTTCCTGTGCATATATAAAACATATAGCTACAAAACTGAGATTCTACTATAGGAAGATTTTTCATATTGCTTTGTAAAAACATTACATTATATTGAATATATTGAATTTTCTTGAATTTTTCCATATTAAATATTTTTAACACAAAGCTTGTGAATTTAAAATATTCATTCATACAAGTTTGTCATAGAAGCTTTCCTCCATGTCTGGGATTCCAGATTTTTGTTATTAAAAATGCTGCGATTAAAATTTTTATTAATGAATCTTTGTGTATGTCTTTGATTTTTTCTTAAAGAAAATTCCTAGCAATAGTTCACTTGGCCAAAGGTGTTCAGCACACCTTCAGAAGTGATGGGTGTTGCCAGCCTCAGGCTCTGGCTGTTGTGTCCCTGTCCTGCCCTGTTTTCTCTCCTCCAGTCAGTCTCCCGTGACAAGGGTTTGTGTTGAGCAGGCTCTAGGTTGTGGACTTCCTGCTGGTTTGGGTGAAGCCATTTGTGGATGGGTGTTGCTCATACAGACCTTGTGATGCTGTCTCTCCTCTAATCTGTTCTCAGTATCTGTTTTGTAACAATAAGTGAGTGGAAGGCAATCTTCTCTGCATATCAGATGAAAGCTTCACAGAGGGAAGATCTTTTCTTATCAATGTGGGCTATGAGGAGGGCCCTGTGTGGTATCAACTGCCTTCTTTATATCATGTATCTAAACCAGCGGTCTTCAACGAAAGAGAGTGATCTTTATTTCCTCCTCCCTCCCTCTCCTGGGGATATTTAGCAATGCCTGGAGACATTTTGGTTGTCACAACTTTGCAGTGGAGAAGGGGGTGTTGCAACTGGCATCTAGTAGGAAGATGCCAGGGATGCTGTAAACATCTTATATCTTGTTTATAATTCAAAATGTTCTTAGTGATTCTGAATATTACTAAAGATAAATCAGAACTGGTATAGCGGTGAAAATTAAGGCAAGGAAGGACTTGGTGGCATTTCTCATGCTGGAAATATGGATCCCACCTTTCCAGGGAAAATCTCTTCTTTTTTCTCAATTTTTTCTTCATTATTTCCTATTTTTCTCTCTCTCTCTCTCTCTCTTTCTCTTTCTGTCTCTCTCTCTCTCTCATACACACACACATACACACACACACACACAGACACACCCCTTCCAAATCCTTGTGTGCTTGGGCTGGGAATCAGGTTGCTGTGTGCAAGGAGAAGAGAGCAGCAGAGAGGGGACACACACTCATGACTAGAAGCTGTGTCTTCACTGAGGTTTATTGAGAGTTCTGTGACCTGTAGGATACTTCTGGAGGCTCAGGGTTGTGGCTGAGGGACCAAGGGCAGGCACACACTTTACTGGTCAGGTCCAGTTCCAGGTTCCCTTTAAGGCTGGCTCAGGATCCAGGGTTAATTTGCCTGCAGGATCTTGTTGATCCAGGGCCGGTAATGGGAGATTCGGGTGAAGACAGCAGGGGGCTTTGCATCCAACCGTCCATAGGATACGATGCCCTGGGCCACCCCAGCACACAGAAGAGGGCCCCCAGAGTCTCCCTGGAGGGGGAGGAGAGAGAGAGAGAGAAGAAGGTAAGCCCAGGAAGTCCTCCACTCCTGTCTGCCAGCCAGCTTGGAGTCACAGTGAGACCTAAAGTCAAATCAGACCCGGGAGCTGGGGCTCCTCACTTACACATCTAGTTCTGATGCCCCTTCTTCCTTTCTTGGGACAGTCACCCACATTCTTCATGTCACCCTATGCCCCCAGTGCAGTAGACTGGAATGGATGGTCAGAGGCTGTCTTGGGCCATGGGAGGACAGACAATCCCTGTGATGCCAACTCTGTCACTGGCTGACAACCTTCTGACCCAATCTCCTTCTAAGAGCATTCTGGTCCCTGAACAGTGAGTTTTGGAGAAGAAACCTAGTTGGAGGATCACCTTAAATGCAGATTTTGTCTTCCTGGGATTGCCCACACACAGCTGAAGATTGTGGTCAAAGTATCTGAAGTGGCTGCAGGCCTGGGGATCCATGAGTCTCAGCTTCACCTCTTGCAGAGTTTCTGAGCCCGGCTTCAACACACCTGTTCTTCCCCAGCCAGCCACCCGGCACATTCTCCCAGGTGGGACAAAGTTGAATTGGGATGGGAAGGGGAGTGTCCCCACGGCCAGGGTCAGGCTGGCTTTCTCCTTCAACTGTGAAGGGAATGAAGGACTGTCAGTCCTCGAAATGGGTTCTGGAGAGTTGGAGGTGAACAGGGAGGGACAGGGTGAGTAGCTTCATGTTAGAGTCAAGTCCTAAGAAAAATTCAGGGCAACGAGGACCTGAAGGAGAAGCTTAGGAGAATGGGAAGTGGAAAAGGAGAAGAGAGGTGTTGTCACCTTTAGTAACATGATATCGTGGTGAAGAGTAGAAGTGTTATATTTTGGATGACGGAATTGCTTTATAACCTCAAGCTTCTGCCATGTGTCTTCTTTCTCTGTTATGTTATGGGCTCCAAGGGTGACTGTTATAGACCTGTTGTGAGGAAGAAGGAAGGAAAAGGAGTGACAGGGATGGCTTGGGGTTTCTCCTGAGGTGAGCTCATTCTGAGAAAAGGGGACTAAAGTCTCTCACTGGGTCCCCGGATTCTACCTATGTCCCTTTTCATGGGCCACTTGTGGCGTTTAGGGGCTCAGGTTTTACTCATGAAAGAGCTTTCTCAGGGAAAAGACACAATTTCTAGGACCCCTGGAATTACTGGGGAATGAACAGACCATGGAGGACTCAGGGGACAGGGTTCACACTTCCTGATTCAGGGAACCCTGAATGAGGGCCAGCCCCCTGAAGCAGGAGATGTCAGTTAAAGGGAAAAGTGAGGGTCTCATGTGGACTCTGTTCTCTGCCTCCCATAAAATGATGGGTTCAGGACCCTGAGAACTAGAGGCCAGTGTTCTTGAAAAGGCCATAGAGGAAGTGGCCCTGAGACTGGGTGAGGCCCTGAAAAGTGAACTGTGTGCCTTGAGTTCGGTAGGGGTGAGGGGTGCTACTGCTACAAGAGGGACCTTGGACAGGGCCTCCTTCTCCTCCGAAGGGGAGCTTAGCTCACAGTGACTGAGGCTCAAGGAAGCTATTCAATCACAGACTAAAGTCTTTCAGCCCAAGTCTTCCCTCTCCTGAAAGTTGACCAGACCCAGGACCCCCTCTTCAGGCCCCAGTGCAGGTGTATCCCTGGTTGCTACTCTGGTTGTTCACCTCCCATTTGGAGATAAATGGACCCTGTTGTCTCACCTTCCTGCACAATGAGCGGCTGTCAGCACAAAGTTCCGTCTTATCAGGAAACCACCACAAGATTTTGAGGGACCGTTGGAGGTGACAATTTCCAGGTAGGCCATGTAGGGGCGGGAGTGTGGCTTGCATTCTGTGCCCCCGATGATCTCCCCTGGAACAGAGCACCCCAGGGTTTAAACATGGGTTTTAATACTCTCTCCAATGAATGGACAAATTGGGTTAAAGCTGAGCGAGGCTTCCCTGGAATCTCATTCTTACCCTGTGTTCTGCCCACCTTCCCTCTCCTGTCTCCTATATTTCGTATCTTTCCCACTCATAACCTTCCAGGTGAAATCCATTCTTTCCTCCAGGTGCAACAACTGGTGCTGCCTCTGCTCCATTCAGATGTTTTCACCTCAGATTTCCCCCACTCCCACCTTGCCCTGGCCCACCCTCCTCTCTCTCTGTGTAGGATCCACTGTCCAGGTTCCTGTTTTAGATTTCTCCACAGCTCGTGAGCATGGTCACAGAGTCAGCAAATAACAAGGTAATGGGTAGCCCTGATGCTCAGAAGATTAAGAGGACATGTCTGTTTTCCTGGGGATACCCCTTTTCCTTCCACTTGCTCTGGGTTTTTCCACAATTGAGGTAAAATTCCTTGTTCCTGGGAGCTGTCCTAGGCTGTAGAGAATGGCAGTGGGTGGGGTGGCGTGCATCCCAAGTGGAAATTTCCCTTTGGGACTCTTGAAGAGAGATCTTGGAACGCTGTTCAAGAGTCAGCTATTTTCAGACTAAACATATTTGTTTCAGGAGCTGATACTGCAGATTTCAGAGGGAAGAACCCCGATACTCACCAGCTTCAGCTCTGGAGCACAAAAAAAAGAGCAGCAGGGGGAGAGGAAGAAGCAGCATCTTCCCAGAGAGGTTGCCTGAGCAAATGCTGGTTTTCCTTTCCAGTCTTGGGTTTTATAATACCCAGCAGGCAAGAGAGGGGCAGGGCTGGTAACCACAGGAACTGCGTGGTCATGTTTTCTTTTCTCACTCTGAATTGGCTGTGTTTATGATCAGAAGTTCCCCCAGAATCACCCTGTGTTTTTCTAGAGAGGAACTTGAGCCCTGAACTCCCAAGTGCTGGCTTCTCAGATGTACCCTCAACCATGGTGCTTTTTCTGGAGTTGGGGGCAGGAAATGGAGGGGCCATGTTTTTCTTTCCCAGTTAGGGCAGCTTGTGAAAGGCCCACTGAATGTTCAGTGCAAAGATTTTTATGGCTATGATCCATAGTCAGAAATGCATATTGCAGAGTCCCAATGCATGCACATATGTATGTGTGAGTACGTAAGCAAAAATCAAAGGTTTCAGAAAACAATCTTTATCTTAACCTTCTGCGATGTTCTCTGTTAGTTTCCATTCCACTCCACTCCACTCCATTCCACTACATGTCAAAACTTGAGCAACAATGCCACTTAAAGGGATAATTCCTTGTAATTTGAAAAACATTGACCTGGATCTCTCTCCTCTGAACCACGTGTTTTTGGCAGAAGAGAGATCCAAGGAGGCTAGATGTAGAAAAGGAACAGACCCTAGGACAGAAATTTATGCAAAGAGCAATTGGGATTGGAATTAGCATTTTCTGAGAGTCTAGGCATATCATACATTGTCACAACTCTTAGATATATTATTACTTTCATAGCAACCCTATCAATATGTTTTACCGTTATGATCATTATCATGTCATGATAGTCAAATTTTTAAATCAGCTATCATAGCTTATGGTTCAGAATTAGGTTTTTCTGATTCCAAATCAAGGGTCCTTTCTGCTCTAGCACTAGAGAGAAATAGAGGAATGGAGTCCTGCCAATGTGGAGGGGAAGTAAAGATATAGAAGGGTGTTTGCTCCAGAGAGGTTGGGGTTTCCTACTGTCACATTAAGAATCAAGCTTTCCACAACAACCTGGGGACACACCATTACTGTCACTTTACAATTGTAGAATTGAGACTCAGACACATCAACATGACCAAGACCACACACCTTATAATATCAGAAGTGGGTTTCAAGCACATAACTGTTATTTTCCCTGGACTTAGAGAAGGCAGTCCACATGGTGGACTGTCATTTCTCTTGGAGATTTACAAGGCATTTAGTTCAAAAGATGGGGATGTGTAGTGTATAAGTGCCTTTTCCAAATCATCTTGCTATGCCCTTGGTCTCAGCTTGGGCTTGCGACCAGAGTGATCCACTCCTTAGTATATATTGGCCAGGCCCTCTGTTGCTTTTAACTTAATTTCCCAAGTTCTACCTACAGCTCTAACTCTCTCTAGAATAAGACATTTACACACATTCCTAATGTCTTTTCAAATCTGGTCTTCTTAGGTGTCCTTATACCACTTTCTTCACTCTTTCAAGTGTTGCCAGAGAATATTCAGAATGCCCAGTTAAATTTGTATTTCAGATGAACAACAAATCATTTTTTAGTTAAGTATGTCCAAATATTGAATGAGACATACTAATATTACAAAATTGTTGTTTATCTAAAATTTGAATTTAGCTGGGAATCCTGTTTTTTTTATTTGCTAAAGTTGGCAACCCTACTCTGGGCATTCCACCGTTAGCAGAACAGAAGAGAATCCAGAGCTGGAGAAGTCTTGTCCTGTGGTCTTACATCAATTAGACCAAAAAAGCAGAGGCTTAAACAAATCAAAGGTGTTTGTTTTCACTGATATAATGAGAAATTGAGAGGTAGGTAGTCTGGGACTAGTATGACAGCTCCACAGCATCAAGATTCAGATCCACCAAGACTTAAGTTTTGTTCCACCTGCCTGGCTGAGGGTCAGGAAATGGAATAGGTATAGCCCCAGTCAGGGGACCAATTTCAGAAATGAGGACTGCACTATCTGCTCACATTTTCTTCTTTTCTCTGTCATATGTATACCTGTGTATTTTAAGGTATTTCCTTTTTCTCATTCTTCTTCGAAGCCCCTTTGGTTATTTTATATATAGCATGTTGGTAGTGAACTTTATGGATTAGTGTACAGTTATCAAGTTGGGAGACTAGAGAATATCAAATTGAAAATGTGATCAAACTATTGTTGGAGCATGTATCACCTCTCTAGGTACACTAGGTACTTCACAGTACTTGAAGTTAAAAGCAGTAACTGTTGACACTGGGTTATTTCAGTTCTGCTGAGTCAAGCCTAATTTTCCTTTATATAAAAGATAGTAAAGATTACGTTCAGTGGGATAATTTTTGTTCTTGGAAACTTTAAGTATGGCAAAAGAATGAATGTTGATGTTGGGCAGCCAAGTGATTGATTGTAGTAGACATTTTCCATTTATGTGGCTCCTTAATGTCTCTGGAACACCCTTCTTGTATTAGAGGAATTCCCAATGATAATTTTTGCCTTACTAAGGTAGAATCCACAAACTTCCATTCCCAGTTTCTCTTGCATTTAGGTCATGTGACTTAGACTCTGTTTATCAGATAAAGGGGTGTACAATTTGACTTAGAAGGGAGTAACATGAGGGAGCTATTATCATGTAGAATTAATTCTTCTAGTGAGGGTGAGTGGCAGAGGGGTAAGGGTTTGTGGAAATAATTGATGATTCAGATGTACAGTGCTGCCTAGAATGTTTGGGCCAACCAAGGGGTAGTGGGACCTTTGCTGCACAGTGCAATGGTGTATTTCGGAAATTGCTTCTGGCTAGTTCGACTCTAGACATAATCCTACAGCATCTTGGGAAGCAGCTGTTGAGTATGTATAGAAAGAACTTACTAACAATCTGTTGTTACAAAATAAATGTGTGGTCAGTGGAGGTAAGTGATTTCTCATCGAGGCAGATACTCAAGTAGAGGTTGAATCGAGTCTTGATTAACAGTTAGTAGGACAGAAAATTTGGGCCTGATGTAGAAGCACTGGCATTTAAATAATGGCAATGATTCCTTAGTAACTATAATGCAGAGGGATCATCCCTTGTCTGAGTTCCCAAAGCATGTATTAACTGTGCTATTATTCACTTTGACATTTAAGGCATGCAGTTTGCTCTGCGGTTAGATGGGGTGAGTTTGAATCTTGGTTCTGCCACTTAGCTATGTGTCTGAACTTAGGAAAATTTTTAAAGTTCTCAACCTTAGTTACTGCATCCATAAAATATGAAGAATGATACAGTACAAGGCTTTTTTTGAGAATTAAATATGATGCTCAATATGAAATGCCACATGATTGGTTCTTAATAAATGTTGGTTTTATTCCTTTGGGTTCTGCCTTGTGCTGCCATATCACCACTTGATGGATAATTGATAGATGTGCCCTCATTGGCTGTATTTTTTTTGATGAAAGAATAAATCTTATACTTCCTCTAAATTCTCCTAAACACATTACAGATTAACATCCGTTATGGACTTTGGTTATTCCATGCTTTGCATGTAACATCTTTTTTCTATTCATTCATGTGCTGCCAGGCTGTTTATTGTTCTTTGAGCAATGACTGTGTCTTTCTTGATTGAAAATTTCTATGCAAATTGTTTTAACCCTCGAGGTGGCAGGTATAAAACACCTAGAAATTTTCATGAATTTTGCAGTCTCTTGTAAAGAACTCCTGTGGGTCAGGGACAGCTGATGGCATGGGCTCAGACTGAGCAGTAGTGCGGTGGAGCAGACAGAGTACATTCTTTATGGTATTGGCAGATTTTCCTGAAGCAGGCTGGAGCTCACTCTGTGTTTGCCCTTGCAATAAGTCCTGCCTGTTTCTATAGTTTCTGAATGACCAAGTTTTTCTGAATTTAAGGTTTACATTTAACAGCTACTAGCTTACATTAAACATCTATAAAGCAATTTAAGAGAATTACTTTCAAATTGATTTATTTTACTATATTGCCTTCACTCGTAACACAATAGTTCACTTTTGAATTACTGCACTCTGCACAATATTTCTGAATGAACAGAGTATCCAGGAGAATGAGATATGGAGAGATCCTGGGAGATTATTCCCAGTGTTGGGGCAGGAGGAAGATTTCTCAGTGTGTGTGTCCTTATTTCTTTTCCAGGCTCTTTAGCACAAACCTAAAAACATTTTTCTCTTTTGGGGGGTTCTTTGTAAGATTTCTCTTTCCATTCACCATTTCTGAAATGGGCTAGTATTAAAGTAGGGAGAGTCTGAGGGTGTCCTTTATCATAAGTTTGGGCAAAGCTCTTTTATGTGGATGGCTTCTGCTGTAGTCTCTGAGATGCTACCGCTCCCCTTATCACTCTCAGTTTCAGTTAAGCAGGCCTACTTCTTGGGCCATCATCTTCTGTAACATTGTAGCCATGATGACTTTATCTTTTCTGGGTGGGCTGTGGGGGACGCTGATAAGGCAACAGCTATTCTTTCCATCCCAGGGGTCCACATGATGCTTGTTTAATCTGTGGTTGGTGGCAGGGGTGGAGCTGGTGCTCACAGGCTCAGCCCTGATCCTCATCATCTTCACTTCTGCTTCCTGTGAGCCAAGATGTTAGAGTATTGTTCCTGGATTGAAAGGAACTATACTCTAGTCGTATTCTAGATGGTCCTGCAATGGCTTGATAGCTCCTTATTGAGATTACTATATTGTGGGATTTTTATATTGTGCTGGGGCCTTAAAGGGTGTCTCATTGGTCTAGTCATTCTTGGTTGCAAGGAGATTCCTTAGTTTCTTGAAGGGCAGATGCTGCCCAGGATGCAGGTATGGTTTTGGTAAGGCTAATGGGGTAGATAGTGTGAAAGGGCAAGTTATGTGAGACTCACGAGACAGGTGGTATCAACAGCATGTGTCCACGGCCACAGGGTAGAGCCTGCGGGGGTCGTTTAGGGATTTTTCAATGGTGCTTCTTTCCAACCACAGTTGGAAGGAAAGGCAGAGGGAGCAAATCAGGGCAACAGACAGCTCCCAGCCCTTCACTTTTTTTTTTCTGGGAAATG